TTGCTTATGTGGTGCTGAGGAATCGAACCCAGGGCCTCATGCATGCAAGGCAAGCGCTCTACCACTGAGCCACCTTCCCAGCCCCTTAGGTCTACTTTTTGTTACCAGTTTTCAGTAGCATTGTTGCCACAAGCGAGGACTGAAACCGAAGTGGCCTTCGTCTCAAATTGCGTAACGGTGGAACCCTGCTTCTCCTCTCAGAGTTCAACCCAGTGCAGCAGCCACAGCTGAATGAGAAAGTGCTGAAGGACAAGCGCAAAAAGCTCCGCGAGACCTTTGAGCGCATCCTGCGGCTGTACGAGAAAGAGAACCCCGACATTTACAAGGAGCTGAGGAAGCTGGAGGTGGAGTACGAGCAGAAGAGGGCCCAGCTCAGCCAGTACTTTGATGCCGTCAAGGTAACTGCACTTCCTCTCGAGAATAAGCCGTGCCCAGCGATGCCCTTAAAAACTGGAAGATGGATGGATGTGGGGTTTTTTGTTTTGAAATTTTTTGTCGCTCATGGGGCCTGAACTCTGGGCCTGGGCACCGTCCCTCAGTTCAAGGCTAGAACGCAACCACGGCGCCACTTCTGGCTTTTTCTGCTTATGTAGTGCTGAGGAATGGAACCCAGGGCCTCATGCGTGTGAGGCAAGCACTCCCCCACTGAGCCCCAAAATGGATGGCTTTAAACATCTTCACAATATCTTCAGGTAGAACATATGCTCAACCTCTGCACTGGCAAATGAGTCCCCGGTTTCATTTCCCCCCAGCACAGTAACGGCCGAAAACTAGCCATGGTGCAGGTTCTCATTAACAGGATAATAAATGACGAAACATATAATTTACACAGTAGAAAGCAACTCAAATGGAGAAGGGCTGACCTGTTGATAACCATTTAAAGAAGAACGTGGATCTTAAGAATATGTTACGCTCCTTCCGGGTTCCCTTAACAGACAAACTACTCCATGGTGAAAATATAATTGTGTTGGATTGTGTTCAGGATTGAGTGGGAAGGAGCACGTGTGTGCAGCACTGAGTGCTCACTGGCCCTGTGTTTTATTGTCAGGAAGGACCCAGTGAGGTGATCAGTTGATTCATTTACTTTTTTGTGAGGTAGATAGGTGGTTTGAGTCCCGTTTTGCAGGGAATTCAGGGTAACTTAAAGAGCAGAGCACGCCACTGTCTGAAATTTCACTAAGTAGGGTAGCTTTTAAAGGGTCTGGTTTCTCTATAAACGGCAATTTCGAGACATGCCCAGGAAGAGTCGGGTGATCATAAGGGGAATAAGAGAGCAGCGGCCGCTCTGGGAAGGAGACTTAGTGTAGAGCGCTTGTCTTGCATGCGTGAGGCCCTGGGGTGGATTCCTTAGCACCACATACACAGAAAAAGCCAGAAGCGGTGCTGTGGCTCAAGTGGTAGAGCGCTGGCCTTGAACAAAACCAGCTCAGGGACAGTGCCCAGGCCCTGAGTTCAAGCCCCAGGACTGGCCAAAAAAACACCAAACACAGCTGGCTGCATATCAGGCTTGCAGACACCATGTGCCCACTAGCTCTGTGTGTGACACACGTGTGTGTTTCAGAACGCACAGCACGTGGAGGTGGAGAGCATCCCTCTACCCGACATGCCCCACGCGCCCTCCAACATCCTCATCCAAGACATCCCACTGCCCGGCGCCCAGCCGCCCTCCATCCTCAAGAAGACCTCCGCCTACGGGTAAGGGGGTTCTGGGGGTGCTGGCTGGTGGGCGTGATGCGTGATCTGAGGCGTGGAACTCAGCCACGGCGCGTGTTCCTGCAGACCTCCCTCTCGCAATGTCTCCATCCTCCCGCTGCTCGGCCATGGCGTCCCCCGACTGCCGCCTGGCCGGAAGCCCCCCGGCCCCCCGCCCGGGCCGCCACCGCCCCAAGTCCTGCAGATGTACGGCCGGAAAGTGGGCTTCGCCCTGGACCTCCCCGCTCGCCGGCGCGAGGAGGACATGTTGTATAGCCCGGAGCTTGGTAAGGACTGGCCGTTCCTCTCGCGTCCCTGTCGCCCGTGCCTGGCCCTCAGCACGGGCCCGATGCGCCCGCCCCGCGCCCCGACCGCCAGCCCCCTCCCTGCGCAGCAGCGGACGGGACGGGGCGGGGGGGGGGCGCTGGGGGGGGGCGGGTGTCTGGAGGGTTCCCTCTTGAGCCACAGCTCTGTCCCTCCCCACATCCTCATGTAGCACGATCACGCGTGAGGCCGTGTGCCCAGAACCATTGCTGAGTGGAGCCTCTGGTGTCTTGTGGGGTGGGGCTTTTTGGTTTTTTCCTGTTCAGTGGTAGGGTTAGAACTCCGGGCCCTGGGCCCTGACCCTGTCCCCAACCCCAGCCCTGGCCCTGACCCTCTTGAAAGAAATTGCCAGGGGCTGGCCGCTCTGCAGAGAAATCCCTTGCTCCATCTTCCGATAGCCCAAGGCCAGCACGGAGGCCTAGCTCACGCGCTAGAACACCAGCTTCGCAGCTTCGCGTTCCGCTCCTGCCGCCGGCCCTGTGCTCGCTCACGGTTCTCGGCTGGGCCGCAGTGGCTGGCGTCGGGCAGTGGTGGTCTGGCCTGCGCGCCTGCGCCGTGGCGGGTCCGGGCGGGTCCGTGATTGCCCATTGTCCCCGCCAGCTCAGCGCAGCCACGACGACGACGCGTCCAGCACCAGCGAGGACGACGGCTACCCCGAGGACATGGAGCAGGACAAGCCGGGGGACAGCACGGACGACAGCGACACGGACAGGTCAGACGGCGAGAGCGAGGGCGACGACTTCGTGCGCCGCGACGGCAGCGAGCGGGACCACGCCGAAGAGAAGAAGTCGGGTGTGTGCCGGAGCCCCACGCCGCGGGGTCAGGGCCCGTGCGCGCAGCCGCAGCTCCCAGCGGGGCGGGCGAGGAGGGGCACCGGGCATCTGGGGGGGCCGTGAGGGGATAGGGGAAGGAGGTCTGTGGGGGAACGTCCGCAGCGTCAGGACCCTGCCGTCGTCTTACGTGTCACCTTGAACGTGCAGGCCCCCTGAGCTCCCAGAGCCGTGGGGAGCCGTGTCTGTGAACAGAGCACTGTCACCACACCAGAGGCTCTGTTGCGAGGCCTGACCGGTCCACGCATGTGCGCTGCCGCAGCGCGCCCCCACACCCCACATACCCCCACCCCACCCCCCGAAGGTGAGCACGCTGCTCCTCCGTTGGCTTTTTACAAGCCTGCAGCACAGTCACTGTGTCGTGTGGGGATTCACGGAAGACTTTCCTCCTGTAGCAGATACCGATCCAGCCGAGGGATAGGCTGCTGTTTCTTGCTTTATGCATGCGAGGCAGCTTTCTAGAAGCACGAGTGGAGGCTGCGTGTTACCCGTGTGTGTGTCTGTGCGTGCATGCGCGTGTGCGGCAAGTTGTGCTGACACCGCACCCTCGTGCACCTCTCTCAGCTCCACGCGACTTTCTCCCGGCTTATGAAGGGTTAAGGAGGGACGGAAAGGTTTTCAAAACATTTCTTTACAAATCATTTTAGAATTATCTGGTTACTTCTTTTTCTGATGCTAACCACCCCACCCCCACTTTTTTTTTTTTTTTTGACCAGTCCAGGGGCTTGAACTCAGGGTCTGGGTGCTGTCCCTGAGCTGCTTTTGCTCAACGCTGGCGCTCTACCACTTGAGCCACAGTGCTTCTTACAGCTCTTGTGTGTATGTGAGGAATCGAACCCGGGGCCTCACGCATGGTAGGAGAGCAGCACTCTACCACTGAGCCACCCTCCCAGCCCCCAGTTTGCTTCTACTTTTTATGTTGGCTGGTAGATTATTTTTGATCACCAAAGTGACATTGCTTTCACAAGTTGAACAGGATTCTGTCTTTTCCAAGGTCCTTCACAGGAAATGTGGCTGAATTCCCTCACATAACTCGTGCTTGACTTTCTGGTTTTCTGGTCATTTTCATCTCGGTGCAGGATTTTATGGGCCTGAAAATGACCATCTTTTTGTTGGTTGGTTGTGGGTCTTGAACTCTGGGCCTGGGCGCTGTCACTGTGCTCTTAAGCTCAAGGCGAGTGCTCTACCACTTGAGCCACAGCTCCACTTCTGGTTTTCTAGTGGTTTATTGGAGATCAGAGTCTCACAGACTTTCCTTCCCAGGGCTGGCTTTGGACCGTGATCCTCAGATCTCAGCCTTTTGGGTAGCCGGGATGACAGGCGGGAGCCACTGCACCTGGCTGATGACCGTCTTTTTTAAATGGCTTTAAGCTGTGTGGCCGGGGCTGGTGTGGCAGGCGTTCACCCTCGGCTGCCCTCCCCTCCCCGTGCGCTTGGCCCCACGCGCTCCGTTACCCCGTGGACCCCGCCTTCCAGCCGCGCTCTGTACAAACCACCTGCCTGTGCTGTCGGTCCCTCTTTGCCCCCCAGGTCTGAGCGTTCGATTCGCCGACATGCCCGGCAAGCCCAGGAAGAAGAAGAAGAACATGAAGGAGCTGACTCCGCTTCAAGCCACGATGCTGCGCATGGCGGGTGAGGCAGGCCGCGCCACGCGGGTCCCGCACCCCGAGGGGAGGATCCGGTCGGGTCCCCCATGGGAGCGTGACGTGATGTCACGTGCCGCCTTCCCCCAGGCCAGGAGATCCCCGAGGAGGGCCGCGAGGCGGAGGAGTTCTCCGAGGACGACGACGACGAAGACTCCGACGACTCGGACGCCGAGAAGCCACCGCAGAAGCAGCATAAGGACGACGCGCACGCCGACGCCGCAGCC